TTCAGCTTCAATAAAAGGGTTGCTTTGATACATTTTGACATGTTTCTTGAAATATCTCATCTTGAAAAGATTATTTACTGTGTTGCTCATATTTGAAGTTGAGTTATTTGTCGGAAGATGGAAGTTATGCATGTAATCCACAAGGTAGAGAACATTTTTTGTGAACCACGACTGTATCACATCAACATGAAGTATGAAGTATAATTTGAAAATGCAACCCAAGCCTGATCTGGAAGTTTTATTATGTTATCTCATTTGCAGGTACGGCAATGCTAATGTTTGGAAGATTTTTACTGACCTGTTTGACTATTTTCCGCTGACAGCCCTGGTCAGTATAACTTAAGCACCATTATGTGTACTCACATTGTGGGGTTCTAATCCTCCTTTTTCCATTATGTTTTTTAATTTTTGTTTCTGAAGCTGCTTTTGATGCTTATTTGTCTGGCCTTTATAGGTCGAATCAGAAATATTCTGTCTGCATGGTGGTTTGTCTCCATCCATTGAAACTCTTGACAACATACGGAATTTTGATCGTGTTCAAGAAGTTCCTCATGAAGGTCCCATGTGCGATCTCTTATGGTCGGACCCAGATGATCGATGTGGTTGGGGAATTTCTCCCAGAGGCGCAGGATATACCTTTGGTCAGGTAATTTTCCTAGGCAACCCCCCACCATTTAACATTAACCGTTCATATCTTCACCATGGAGTTTTATAAGCTCTTTTTGTTGTTTCTTCAGGACATATCTGAGCAGTTTAACCACAGTAACAATTTAAAGTTGATTGCGAGAGCTCATCAGCTAGTGATGGAAGGATATAACTGGAGTCATGTAAGAAGCTTTTTCCCTTTGATGCCTGCATTTATCTTTTGTTTTGGTGGTGTGAGCAATTTAAAAATTGTAGATTGCTTATCACAGGAACAAAAAGTTGTGACTATATTTAGTGCACCTAATTATTGTTATCGCTGTGGAAATATGGCATCAATTCTGGAAGTTGATGACTGCAAGGCGCACACTTTCATTCAGGTCACTCTAATATCACAGCCAGTCGTTACTTTATTCATATCTTACCTTTGTGTTTTCTGTATGTGTCAAAAGTTGTGAAATTCTTTGCTTCTGCAGTTTGAACCAGCTCCAAGGAGGGGTGAGCCAGATGTTACTCGAAGAACTCCCGATTACTTCTTGTGATGCGGCTATTGTCAGATGAAAATTTCTAGCAGCAGCTGTTTCCAAATGTATGTTTTGGCCGTTGTTACGTTGGAGAATTTCAGTTGNGGGGGGGGTTGGTGAAGCATGTAAATTTCGGCTGGTTGCTTCAGGAGGGAGGTGTGCATCCTTGAAAATCTCAAGGTTTTTGCTGAAGGAGGCTATAGGGCTGGCGACTCATTAACTGCATATGTAACATCTCCACAGAACAATGTTGTGTTGCATCTGTTTCTTTCTTTAGTAATGTGTTTCATGTAATTTTCTTTTCCTCTGCTTTTCTGTTTACTATTTTGTAGGATGCTTGTTCTAGTTTTCTTTTTGGGGGTTCACAGATGGACCATCAGTTTAATTTCCTTCAATGAGTGCCTTCATTATTCTTTCCCATGATTTCCTCTTTTGCTGTGCACCTTTCTTCCAATGCCTTTTAGAAGTCTTTCTTCTTCAGCTACTTTGTTTAATCTTTAGTATCTATAAAATGTAAACAGCCTGGCCTATTTTCAATGAGCAAACAATCAGGCCCCATTAGAAGCAGTGTATACGTTGAGTGTCTCCCATGCAGAGACTGCAATCTTCTATGCCAGAGTAGGGACGAGTTTATGTTTACCCTCGACTTTGAAGTGATAATTCAGCTGGCTGCAATTTCATACGTTCTGTGTTATGCAAAAAAAACTTTGTATTTAATAGTCTATCCTAGATTTCGAATGCAAGCCAAGCTTGTGTAAGTAACCAATAATGGGAGGAATTTTGGATCTTTTTAGAATTCGAACTTAAATTTCCTCATAAACCATTGGGAGAAATGTTTTGTAATCTGTTTGGATGCGGCAACGCATGCCTAAGTGCCTAAGTTGCTGGATGTGCAGTCAGTGAATGAGTAGACTGGGTGCCGATATAGCTTTGGTGTAAGCAAGAGGCAGTGTGAGAAGTTTCTTCGACCTCCCTACGTAAGCTCGCTTTGTGAAGTTGTTGTAATCGTTTTCTTCTATTGCTTCCAATATTTTTCGGTACAGCATCAAGGACGACCATATCGGCCAACGGCTGGGCTTGTCTAGCTGAGAGGCTCCCTTTTCTGCCTGTTTGAAATAAAACCTCGCCCTTTTGATCTGTTCTTTCATGAATTCTCTCCATTTATCAGTCACTCTCATCGACAATATATCGTTGTCACATAACTCGAACTGTGCAAGCTCATCTTGAGGAAGATATACCCTCCCTCTCAAAGCACTGAAACAAGTTCAAAACGCAATATTTAGTTGCATGAACAATAGAAGTAAGAGATAGAGAAAGAAAAGAATAGCTTACTCCTCTCCCACATCTCTTAGAATATTGGTAAGCTGATTTCCAATTCCCAAGTGGAGGGAAGCAGTGTAAATAGTTTGAGAAGAAAGCGAAGAATCGGGTGCAATTCCCATAACAGGCACACTCATTAGGCCCACAGTTCCAGCCACGTAGTAACAATACAAATACAGCTCTTCAAAACTGTCATATCGACACTTTCTGGTGTCCATTCTCATGCCCTCAATCATGTCTTTGAAAGGCTGCTTTCAGAAAACAAAACAAACACGCACAACAAGTATTGAGCCCAAGCCAGCAAGACATAAAAAACAGGAAAGCTTCTCTCAGCTCACTGCACCTTCATGTCTAAGGGAAATTTGGACACCGTGTGACTCAAAGCAGCGTCCAGCACGTCATAAGGGCACCCTTCAAATATGTCTTGCAAACGTTCTTCCCATCGGTCAAGAACTTCTGGGTTCATGTATGCAGCATTGGGGCCGTCCACAAGTTCATCTGTTCTCCTACACCAAACTGCACCAACAAAAACTCAAAACATACTCCTCACTTTGGTGGGTTTTCCGAAATGGGTTCGCTTAAAAAATGTGATTTCTTTTCCCCTTACCATATATTGCCCAAATTGCTCTCTGCCTCTCCTTCGTCATCAGTAAAGTTCCCAAGTAGAAGGTCTGGGCATATTCTGCGCAGATTTTCCTGCAACTCTCGTAAGCTTCTTCCAGAAATGAAGGATGTAACTGCAGCGTCTTACACGGTTGGGAAGAATGGTTGGCCCGAGATTGCCTTTCAACGATCTCATCGACGTGCAAATCGGCCAAAGGAATGCCTTGTTTGGACAAAGTTGGAAACTTCAATGTCTGGGGGCTTGTGGGGGCTGCAATTACCCCACCTCTGCTCATTATAACTCTAACTCTGGATCGCTTCCCTTCGCAGTCTCCAATGACTATACGAGGGTTTGGTGTAAGGGAAATAGAAGAAGTCATAGTACAGATTATTTGAGAAAAAAGATTGGGTTCAAAAGGGTTAATAAGAGTGTACAATTATTTTGATAGGCGAGGGAGGTATATTCCAACGGGGGAGGTCAATGGCATAAACAGAGTATGATTACAATTGGGAATTTGGGCTTCTGCTCTTTTCTTCACTAAAGTTGGTAAGGATCGGACAAAGAGAGAGCCTTGGATCGGAGGAAAACAACAACAATTTTGTCTTGTTTTTGGGATTTCATTTTAGAATCTTGAGCCTTCTTGATACCCTTCGGAAACTCAGCACTCCTACAAGTCTTTTATTTTATTTTACGTATTTGTAACAAAACCTTAAATCATAAAATTATGTAATGCTTATCCAACCATTATTGAAATGCAATACAATTATTTTTCAACCCCACAACATGAGTTTGTAGTCCAACTATTAGGATAATTGTCTTACCCAGTTAGGATGATAACATATTTTAAATTTTAGAAAGCCTTTAATCCCACCTCTCTTCTACCCCTTCACATTTCGTCCACGTAACAATTGAGATTGGGCCTCAAAAATCAGTTTCTTTTTCCTCAAATTATTGGGCCTACTACTATTCAAGCCCACTACACTAGCTTTTGGGGTCCAGATCCAAAATTGTTGGGTAAGCATGAGAGAGAAGTAAGAGCAAAGGAATCCCCCTTTCAAATAAAAAATACTTAAAAAAAAACAGGAGACATCCTATCATTGACAGATTCATAATGCAAAAGTGAGCATTATAGGCGTTGTCGCATTTGAATTCCTTGTTGTTTTAATAAATAAAGGCTGTCATTAAAAAAGTATGGTTTTAGAAGAAAAAGAAAGGTGTTTCAGAATTTGTTAGAATGGTGAGGAAGGAAGATGTTACTTCATCGGGAAGTAAGAGCAATTGTTTTGAAAATTAGAAAAGTATGAGGGAGTACCATTGAAAATATGACACGTGTCTTCAACCAGGAAATTACATTTATACCAGAAAGGCCCGTAATCTACGAAGCCTGGATTCATTTCTAATGCGTGTATGGTCCAAAAATAATAATAAGGTTTCTCCAACTGGGCCCACTTCTCACCCTAAGCCCTAAACCGCCGTTACATTACCGCAGGCAATCTCTTGCTTAATTAAAGTCTATAAATAAATAAATAAATAAATAAATAAATAAAATGGCACACGTGTCCAGAGAAAGGGATCGAGAGATTAATAAAATGAAGAGAGAAATACTTTTGTCATGATGCCATGTGACTCCCCATTATCTTCTCTTTTTTCTTGCTTTCCACACATCCCTTCTCTCTTTCCACGTAACCATCCTTACTTTTTTGCGTTTTTCTTTTTTTGTAAATAAATTAAATAAAAAAAGAAAAAAAGAAGAACAGCATGGTCTAAGTTGGTTAGTTAGTACAAATTATTTGAGAAGAAAATATGAAACTCTCTCGGATCATAAATACAATCCTACCCACAGCTCTAGTTGTTAATTTAAACCATTCCGCCACGTGGCACACTTTTCTTCTTCTTCTTCTTCTTCTTCTTCTGAGCCCCTATTGCCGTTCATCATAAAGACCCACAGACCCAAACCCATTGCCATCGCTGGGACGAAAGCAATTCTATGAAGACCCCACAGACAACAAAAGAAAGTGATCCTTCGCTGACACTGACACGTGGAAAATTTGATAGAGATAGAGACAGAGAGACAGAGACAGAGAGAGGGAAAGATTGATTGTCGAAGTGGTGGTTTGTATAAATGGGAGTGTAATCCCACGTAGTATTATCGAACTCTCTCTTTGTCTTACAATGGAAACCTTCCACTTGATTCCCGGTCTCCCCGACGAACTCGGTCTCGACTGCATCACTCGTTTGCCTTACACCACTCACCGCCTCGTCTCCTCCGTCTGCCGCCGTTGGCGTCAACTCATCTCCAGCTCGCATTTCTATTACCACCGCCGAAACTCCGGCGCCACCCGTCTTCTCTCCTGCTTCGTTCAGACTCTTCCCCCAACCTATTCCACCACCGGATGGAAGCTCTGCACCTCCCTCGCTTACGGACTCACCCTTTTCGACCCACTCACTCAATCCTGGGACCGAATCCCTCCGATTCCCCACTACCCAGATGGCCTCCCTTTGTTCTGCCACATAGCCAGCACGGAAGGCAAATTGGTGCTCATGGGCGGCTGGGACCCAGAGACCTACGATCCTATTGTTGATGTTTTCGTTTACGATTTCTCCAGATGTGGCTGGAGGAAGGGGAAAGATATGCCTTCTAACCGCTCCTTTTTTGCAGTAGGGGCTTCTGATGGACGAATCTACGTCGCCGGTGGCCACGACGAGAGCAAGAACGCCTTGAAATCGGCCTGGGTTTACGATCTGAGAAGCGACGAGTGGACCGAGTTGCCCCAAATGAGTCAGGGGAGGGACGAGTGCGAAGGGCTGATGGCCGGCGGCGAGTTCTGGGTGATTAGCGGCTACGACACCGAGCGGCAGGGAATGTTCGACGCCAGCGCCGAAGTGTACGACCTCGATTCCGGCGAGTGGCGCGTTGTGGATCAGGCATGGGAGACGGGGAGGTGCCCGCGGGCATGCGTCGGAATGGACAAAGAGGGAAGACTGACGAACTGGTCGGAATGGGAGGCTGCGTTCCAAGTCGGAACCTGCGGGGTGGTGATCGGATCCCAAACTGTGGTGACGGGATCGGAGTACCAAGGGGCGGCGCAGAATTTCTATGCGATGATGGAAAGGGAGGAAGGGGAAAATAGTAAAATGACCAAAATTAATGTTCCAGAAGAGTACAGTGGGTACGTTCAATCGGGATGCTGTGTAGAGGTGTGATTTGTGGAAAATATCCAATGTGGGGGGTATTATTGTAATTTTGTCCTAAGTTTGGAAATGGACATTTACATTATATTATACAGCTACCGACTATGTACATAATAAATTCCAAACAGCTACCGACTATGTACATAATAAATTCCAAACAGCTACCGAGTGCAGGCATTTGCAGTAATATGGTCTCATCCACATGGTCGCATATGCGCTCCATTTCCCACCCAGACTTCCCAACTCTATCCAATTCACTCTATCCTCAGCTGCTGCAATTAAGATAACATACTGTGTCGGTTTCAACGCTGTTCCAGCCATGAGCACACGCCAAACCCCTCTGCAGGGTCTGATGTTTGGGCCATGGACTCCGGATTCTGCACAATCCTGTTCAATTTCACAGCTTCATCTACGTTTATTTAGATTCTTCACACTCCAGCTTCATCTACGTTTATTTAGATTCTTCACACTCCAGCTTCATCTACTTTGCAGTAGTTTTCAAGGAGTGGCTTTTGATCAGCCAGGCTTCTTAAGAATTTATGATATCAAACTGAGAAGAGAGGAGCCGACCAATGAAGATATCAGTATTTTGTATGAAAATCTCAACTTAGTCATAAATACAACAGTTGGGTGACCACCAAACTTGATAGCTATAGGATCCTTCCAAATCATCACAAGAGAACGCTATATTACATCGCATATGACAGACACCTAAATTCAAAAGGGGCTACTACAAATCATTCATAATATCCACAGTTGTAGTATTCCATTCCTGTCCTCGTCTCTACATTTGCTTTCCACTGTTCTTCATAACTTCTTGCCAAAATCATATCCATGACTGTTGGTTGTTTGAGGTTCCATTCACTTTGCAAAACGTAGCGTCCACTCAGCAGCTATCTCGTCGTGTTTAGCTCTGTCGGCCAAGTACAAGTGAGCAACACCAGGTGCATTTGGATCATCTGCAACATTAGTAGAATCCAAAATGAACTGGGACTTTGAACTTGCCATCAATTAGTTGAATAGAACAACAGTTAGCACACTGCCATTGCTTCCTCAATCTTCTCTTCCTTCTCATTTTATTTAAATGGAAAACAGACCAACCATTTGTGTGATCAACCAACCTCTCTATATACTTTTTTCACCACATATGTTTTGTAACAACCTAAACTCATCCATATTGTCCTCTTTGGGCTTCTCCTCAAGGTTTTAAAAACGCGTCTACTAAGGAGAGTTTTTCACACTCTTATAAAGAAATACTTCGTTCCCCTCTCCAATCGATGTGAGATCTCACAATATTCATCCCACCGGCAATCATTGTAACTAGAAACTTTTATACTGTATAAACAAACCATCTCCCTCCATAGTCTGCATACATTCATGGAGAATAGCTCCCATTCCTAGTAAATTCCTTTCAACAATCACAGAGTCCCTCTCTGTGAAAACCGAACCTAACCGAACATATATCTGGTCTATCCCTTCGTTTACACTCCCGGTTCTTAAAGACACAAAGGACAATGCATTCCAAATGAAAGAAAAGCAGTTGAAATAGAAAGGCATATGAAGTAAACGAGAAGAAGCATAAAGTGACATAAACAATGAGTTCAAAAGTGAGGGAACTCACAAGGGTTGGGGTTTGTAAAAATTGATTTCACTGCAATTAACACCTTTGCAATTGTTAACGCAGGACTCCAGCTATCCTTCAAAATGTCCAAACTCACGTTACCGGAGGAATCGACATTGCAGTGGTAGATTCGGGTTTTAAATACAACCTGCACACCTGATCCTTCTTAATAAATAATAAACAACTTGGAACAGTGTAGCATCGATCAAGAATGAGCATCAAATTGAAGGATGTGGGGGAGAAGAGTACCTTTGGAGGATTAAATGGATAATCACTGGGAAAAATTATGTCCAGGAAAAATATGCCACCTTCATATGGTGTTCCTATAAACAACACAGACACAAGTCAAGATTACCAGAAATTTGTCCTGATTTATTGGAGATAGTGTTCATACACAGCCTTCATATGATCCAAAACAAATAAATTTAGTTTTTGGTAAAAGTTCTTCAAGCTAAACAGTGGGCATCTTCTTCCCTAATCACTTTCTTTAGAATTGTAAATAAAACATCCTTGGCAGTCAGGAAATGAAACCCCATCAGGGTTTTAGTGAGCATCTGTTCAGGAATTGAAACAAAGAAGTACGAATCCCTAAAGGGTACCTACCAGGAGGGCCAAAGATGGTAGCGAACCAGTGGTAAAGATTGTCGCCCTTTGGCCCGGCGGAGCAATCGGAAGGTGGGTCCAAGTTAAACTCAGTCATTTCTCTTTGAATTCTCTTCCCTGAAGCAGAAACGGAGGTTGTGGACGCCCATGAAGTTGGAGGCGCTAAGGACGTCGACGAAGACGATCTCCCCCCACCAAACAGAGGCTGTTGCGGGCGGTGGTCGCGATTTCCCACCATTGGATTCAGATTTTGGGAACCAAACCTGACCATTTGATTATAAATTTCCCCAATTGCACTACTTACAATGAGTTTGATGGAGGGCGATTATACTCCCAATTACCCCGCCTTAACTTTTAAATTTTAATATTATATTATATAGAATTTGATTATGCATTCAACTTTGTGTCCATAGATCAATAAATTTTAGAAACACTCAAAAATTTAACCTTTTTTTTCTCGATAACGGTAAGGAAAATTGCTGGATGGTCCAAGCCCAGTTCCAGCCTGACGACAAGCCCAGGGCAACAATTGGTTCCAGCCAGATCACAAGCCCAGTTCAGAGCCCTTTGCAACTTAACAGGATGTGCACCATCTTTAGCCACACACAAAACAACAGAAGAAGCAGCAGTGACAGTGCTGGATACTGAACTCAAACATAGGGAGCAAATAATGATCATATTCAAACAAGTGGAATATCGTTGACTTTTCTGCCAAGTCAACCCAGTTACGTGCCTATTGGGCTACTAATTCATGTGGCCCATATCATTCACGGAAGTGGGTATTTGACCCCAATTCAATCGGCCCAATAAGCATAACTGTTTCTGGTTGGGAGTACGCTTGTGGGCTTATAAAGAAGTCCAGAAGAAGGAGGGCACAACTCACAAGGATGTGAATGGTCAAAAAGTCAATGCAACTGTCGTTGATTTATTTAATAAAGCTTAATATTAAAATAAAAATAGAAGCGTTGTGACATATTGAATTTATGGTATGTACTGAAATTGGTTTCTTATCATTTCAATTAAATAAATAAATAAATAAATAAATAAATAATAAATTAAAAAGATATGAAGAGGAGGAGTCAAATCTTTGTTGGTGGGGAAATATAGAGGAAACTTCGAATGCTTTGAAGTTTCACAATCAAATAAATTTTAATAAAATTTTCCTGCAAAAAGTGGGAGAATAATAATAAATAATTCTGAAATGCGTATATAAACCCCACCAAAATCCACTTCCTCCACTGCTTCTTCTCTAATTTGCGATTCAAACTCCCATTAAACAGGAACCAACAGTTCCGAAGCCGGAGCTCATATCCATATCCATCGTCAACTTTCAGTTTTTCATCGTTTTCGTTTTCGTTTTCAAGGTCACCACTGAACATTACTGTTTTCCTTTTCAATTAGTTTCTGTTCTTCCATTTGATTGTGTTCGTAGAATGGATCTTCCCTATATGTTTCTTTAGCGAAAATGGTAATCATCTCCGTGGTTTTTAATATATGTTGATTTTCGAATCGCTGTTTCATTGAATTGGGATTTGGGCTGCCTTCTTGATGGCTTCACAGGACCGCCTCCGGCTTAAAGCAGTTTCAAAAAAGAGAAGAAAAAAACAGAGAGAGACGGGTAGAGATTATTTTAATGCTATTATTTGGTTAGGCACATCTATGGACATAGTGTTATAGGCATTGAATCCATTGTATCCAGATCTCTGTTTTTTTTAATGTGATCAATTGGAGCCACTTTCTTCGAACCGGATAATTTGCCACTTTCATTACCTATTCTTAATTATGAATGGAGATCACTTTTGAACTTGCTAATGCTAGTCTCATTTCTTTTATTAGATTTCCATAGCATGGCCTGTAGACTATAAATAGGACATGCCTTCTGATACAGCATCTGTCCTTACAGGATATTAAAGGATCTTATTATGCCATATGGGTATATCTGGTTCCTGTCCATTTGCTGAGTTTATTGATATGGGGAACAGTTTACAATCTATTCTGATAAAATCCTTAAGTTTTGGAGATGAAGAAAAAACTCCAATCATGTCTGCCAGTTTTACAAGCAGAGATTAAGAACCAAAAGTGTTGAAATCTGTAAGTTCTCTAAATGTATCGTTGGAAGCATCTATTAACTTCAACGGAAGAGATTTAGAGAATCTGCCTTCAACGGAGGCTTCTTCATTAGAAACAGGAAATGACATAGGCGTTGCATCCATCAACCCAAAGAGTGTAGAGTTTGATAATCAATCACTAAGTTTAGATAATGACATGGAAAGATTCAAAATGTTACCAGCTTTGGATCCTACCAATCCCAAGCATGTTGCTGCTCTAAAATTGCAGAAAGTGTATAAAAGCTTCCGCACTAGAAGAAAGCTTGCAGACTGTGCTGTTCTGGTTGAACAAAGCTGGTAACTTCTCCTCTTTTTCTAAAAACTGATAATCATGCTGCACTTTTTGCTTAGATTATTTTGTCTTACTTCCATTATTTATTAAACTGGCAATGTTTGTAGGTGGAAACTCTTAGACTTTGCTGAACTGAAGCGAAGTTCTGTATCATTCTTTGACATGGAAAAACGTGAGTCTGCCATTTCACGCTGGTCAAGAGCAAGAACTAGAGCAGCTAAGGTGAATTTACAGAAATTTCTGAGAAAAAAACGTGTGAACAATAATACTTCACCGGATTTTTGTTTCAGAAATCTAATCAGTCTTTTGCAATTATAGGTTGGAAAAGGGTTATCGAAGAATGCTAAAGCTAGAAAGCTTTCTCTGCAGCATTGGCTTGAGGCGGTAAGTAAGTTTTCTTGTAACCAAGTCTTAACTTCATTTTGTAGTGATGTAATGATTAGTTATTTATGTATACAGATTGATCCGCGACATCGCTATGGCCACAACTTACACTTTTATTACATGAAATGGCTTCATAGTCAGAGTAAAGAACCCTTCTTCTACTGGTGAAATTTCCTTATTGCAACAATATGTTTTTCACTATTTTTCCTTCTTCCTTTACTGAATTTGGAAGCACCATGTTTTGACCTTGACCAGGTTGGATATAGGAGAAGGGAAGGAAGTAAATGTGGTCGAAAAATGCCCGCGATGGAAACTCCAACAGCAGTGCATCAAGTATTTGGGTCCTGTAAGCAAACACTTCTTGATTTCTCATCGAATCTTCCTTCTCTTCCTTATTATTGAACTTAATTTGTTTCTGCTTTAATCTTAGATGGAAAGGCTTGCATATGAAGTAATTGTGGAAGATGGGAAACTCGTATTCAAACAATCAGGGAAACTCGTCCACACAGCTGAAGAAGCCAGAAATACAAAATGGATTTTTGTCCTAAGCACGTCAAAGACTATGTATGTTGGAAAGAAGAAGAAAGGTACGTTCCAGCACTCAAGCTTTTTGGCTGGAGGAGCTACAACTGCTGCTGGGAGATTGGTTGTGGACAATGGTGTTCTCAAGGTACCAACTCGACAACATGAAATCCTCAACTGTTTTCCCCCTCTAACTCATTAAGTCAATTACCTATTATCTATTACTCTTCTTTGACACAGGCTGTTTGGGCTCATAGCGGACATTACCGACCCACTGAAGAAAACTTTAAGGACTTCATGTCATTCCTTAAAGAGAACAATGTAGATCTTACTGATGTGAAGGTAATATTGCCAGAAAATGTACGAGGCTTTCATGTTTTCCCCTCTGATATCATTTTTAAAACTTAGATTGTTTTAAATAACGCCTGAAATCCAACTTTTATCCCATTCAGACAAGTTCCATTGATGAGGGGGATGATTATCTAGACTGCCAAACGAGTAGGCGCCATGTTAGGAACAACTCATCTGAGGAGGACATCATAGAAAAGCTGAAGGGCTTTGAGAGTGAAGAGAACAATATGGAAGAATCCACTGAAGGAAAATCTGATTCATTTGAGCAAACACCGCCTTCCATTGAATTATCAGAGCGAAAGCGTCGCAACATTGGGAAAAAGTTGGCCAATCTCGAGATACCAAATAGGGGTGAAGTGATTGCGATGCTTGAGAGAGAACAAGAAGATAAAGGGAGTACTGAAGTGAAGGTTGTTCCCGAGGAGTCAGTCCTTGGAAGGTTAAATTCACATAAAGATGCCAATTCATACCAACTAGGGAAGCAGTTGTCTTGCAGATGGACAACCGGAGCCGGGCCCCGCATAGGCTGCGTGCGAGACTATCCATCACAACTTCAACTACAAGCGCTGGAGCAAGTGAGGTTATCACCAAGATGCGACACATATTGTAGGCATCACTGCAATCCTTGTGTGGCCATTGAGATGAGCCCAAGGACGACAATACCTCCAACTTTCCAGGCGAGATAACTGGAAACACAAGAAGATGACTGACCATTCCTAGACATGATCCTCTTACTTTTGTTTTTTCATTCAGAGGAAAACATCAGAGAATGGAGCAGATAGTAGATCATTCTTTTGTATATACATACAAAAAAGATGATGTAGGAATTCTTGGTGATTTTTTCCCACCATCCCATTTTTTCTTTTTCCTTCTTTGTGTAACGAAGAGAAATTGCATACAGTTTTGGTATTCCATTTCTTCTTAGAATGAATACAAGCAGAAGTTGTAGAGTTTTATGGGTTCATAGCTTCTCTTTTGCTCCCTATAGTCAATAGTCAGCAGTTCATCGTCCTCAACAGCCAAACGGTGAAACCCCACTTGAACAATCAGGATTAAATTTGAAGAAGTCACGTCAAACAGATAAAAATGTGGGCAAAAAGACGTAGGAAAATGCCAAGAAAGAAGCAAAGGAGGGCACTTTATGAATAATGCGACACCTTTTTAAGGCGGCATTTGACGACGTTGATTGAGGAATGTGGTCAGCGAGTTCGTAAATCTAAACTCAACGAGCAGCCTGTTTATTTGGAATTAAATTCAATTACAAATTTAATTTTTAAACTTTCCATATATTTTTTTTTAATTCACAAACAATTTTATTAGACATACTTCATTTTTAATTTGTAAGTTTTGAATTTCCTAGAAACCTATTATTAGTTCAATTTTTTTTAAAAAAAATAATAATAATTAGACACCTAAAAAATACAAAATACAAATTCAACGACAGGTCTTCCACCACTCAACTTTCAACCTAAAATAATAATAATAATAATGGAAATGGAAATGGAAGTGTCAAAATTAGCCCCCAATGAAAATCCATTCTATGACTGATGGTGCTCAAGTCCAATTCAACAAGCAGCAAGAGTCTCCTTTAGAATATCTATGTTTGACTGCGAATTCCAAGTGATGCAGCAGAGAAAAGAAAAGGAAAGGAAAATAGCCACTATCTATTATCTATTAGAGATGGGTTTGAATGAGCTTTGCAGCAGACGTAGAATGGCATGACGAAGAAGACTAAATAGATATCAATCAACGACCAACATCGGCTACCAGACCACACAACCATTCCAGTCAATGTTTCTCTAATTACAGCTACCAACACTTCGGAGACACATAAATACCCAAAAGTACTATTATAGTGAAGTTCACCCTAAAGTTTCATACCTTTTTTCTAACATGCCAATGAGTAGAGCGGTGCTCAGTATTTCCATTCACACATTACAATACAACCAATGCCTCAGGGGATCTTTAGCCACCTATGAATACCAACAGAAATTTTTGTAAACTAGTCACGGTCAACGAAAAAATAAATGCAAGTTTGACTAGAAAAATCTAACCTTAGTTATTGTGAGATTGATCATGCTCAATAAAGTCCAGGGCATCTTCCTTGGTGACAACATTCACACGGCTCACCCTATTTTTATGGGTAACACCATATATCTTGTCGGCAACCTTCACAAGCTCTGGCCTAAATGTAGTTGTTATAAATTGAGTATTTGCCATGTCTGCTAGCCTACGAATCATATCTAGCAAGTAATTAAGAACATCAAACTGGAATTATGATTACAGAGAAGGGAATATATGACATAATATAGTCGACAATAAATATAATAGCACCCTCTCTTATCATTTAAAAAGAAAAACGAAAAGTGGAAACGTGTTTGATATCACTTGGAGAAGACCATGGCAAGGCAAACAAATCATAAGTATAATGTGAAGGATACTTCCGACTGCAGTTCTATACTGTGGATCCAATGCCGCATCTATCTCATCAAACAGGTAAAACGGAGCAGGATCACATCGTTGTATGGCAAAGATAAGGGTTAGAGCAACAACAGTTTTTTGTCCCCCAGACAACTGCTTCATGGACTGTGTCTCTCCTTGCCCAGTAAAAGAAACCTGCAACAAACGCCATTTAGGAACTCGGGAAAGGTCATCCTATGAAACAAAGTACAGAAGCTTGTACATGCCTTCACTTTCACTCCGATGTATTTCTCAACCCTGCCCCCAGTATCTGCTTCTGGCGGTGCAGCTTCATCAGGATCATCATCAGCATGATCACCATCCTGTGCGAATGAAGGAAAAATTCAAAGAACAAATTACTCTTGATGTCGCATTAACTCATAATTATCTAGCCGTAATCCCAGAACACCATCCCAACCCATAAATGTGAATTTAACCAAGGATAAGAAAACATCATACAGGTCTTAGAAGTTGTTGGCACAATGCCATACAAGCCTGGTTCTAGCTATAGGTCCTTCGAGATATTATATTAAAATGATATTATCACTTCTGAGCAATTTTTTCAACAATTAAGCTTCCTTAGTCGTGGGTAAGAAAACATATGTTTAGCCCATTTTTAAATCTGTTAATAACGAACCAAGCCACGGACAGGAGTTCTCGACCATTTATGCCTGAGATGTATCTCTTCCTTAGAACCATAGGAGGCTGTTCAGCTTCACAAAACTCCATGCAAGTAAGATAGAAGATTATTGTACATAGAAACATTGGAACTTGGGGGGAGACTAAGAACCTCCTGGTGTAGGCCAACGTTTCCCCAAGTTGTTTAAAGTTAAGGTGACTGGAAAGACAAGGGGATAGTAAATAAGATGCAGAGTTGGGTGCATCATGGATTGTATGGGACTTCGATACCTCAAGAGCAACTGATTTTAAGGGGTAAAAAAAGAAGAAACAAAAGAAAGAGATGAAACAATTATACAATCAAGATAAACAATTATAGAATTGAGCATGTTCCCGAAAAACACACCCTATGAGGTTCTTGCCTATAACAACTTAAAAGTCATTCATTGCTGTGGCATGTTGATACCTTCCATGAAGTGACAAAAGGGGGGATTATAACTTTCTCTGGAATTCCTTCTTAAACAAGAAACCACACATTCATTGAGAAGAAATGAAAGAATATGAAGTACATAAAGAGAAACAAACTAGCATCAGGAGTCGAACTAAAATAAAACGAAGCTTCAATTTAACAAAATAAGATCCAAGGGATATATACACAAAAAAACTTGTAGACCAACACCTAAAGAGACACATAAACATAACAAGCAACCAAAAAGACCCTTGTCACAAAATGGTGACTGAAGAAGAAACTCATCCACCATAGAACTACAATCTCTAGAACAAAGCCAAGTAAACAGAAGTTCTATAACCCCAATCAATAGCCAATCTCCAGCAAATACAAAACTGCGACTCAACTACAACTAGAAAGCAAAACTTCCCCATAATGATGAAAGACACCTACCCATCCACTAATGGCATACAATAGAGATCTTGACGAAATTGTGTCCAAGCTAGGCTCCAATAAAGCCATAGTCTCAAGATTATGAATAAGTCAATCCAATCATTCAACTCAGTAAGGTGTCTTCTATCCTCAATATTCCAGGCTTCTTGTCAAGAAGAATGGGAAAGGTCACAACTCTACCTTTTTAGCCCTGTTTATTCGAAGCTGTAGATAATGTTCCTTAACATATTCAGTCAGTCCCTAACCTCCTTCAGAATTATTTCAAGACTTCTTAAGAGTCTTCTTTGTGAGGATTAGTTCGAGAACAAGGCTAAGGTTTAATGCTCTAAAATCTCTTAAGAGCTCTTATGTTGAAATTTTTTATCAGATAGAAAAAGGAGATTTTACGGAGGGGAAAGGCCCCTGAACAGGTATCGGGAGACAATACTTCAGCTTCATCTTTCTGGATTTCCACTTAACATTTTTGTAATCTAGTCCGACAAAGATTATACACTTCTGAGTTTTTTATCCATCACTAAAAGAAAATTGTGTGTTCTTAATGAAAAAACAAGGCCCACAGGCTATAAAATGGCCACCATGCCAAGGACCAAAACAAAATGACTTGTCATAGGTCAAACTCAACCATTCATCAGCATAATACCCCACAATGTCCACAGGCCACAAAAATACATTATGAGTGATAAAATCTGCATCCAACACCAAAAGGAATGCGTGCAATACAATCAAAACTATACCTTTTTCTTCATCATTACTAGATACCCATGGCCACCTTGAACAAGCTCTGAGAAAACTTCTCGAAAGTGTTTTGCAACTCCTTTGAATGTACGTTCAATTGATTCATCCTTCCTTTGATCTAAGACTCCTATGAGCTCTTGAATTTTCTACAATGTCCAGAAGCACCATTGCTTGGCAAGAGTTTGACAGCCAAATTACAAACAAAATAATCTAAATTGGGTCCGGTCTAGCAATACCTCATCACCTGCATCTAATTCAGCTTGTCTTTTCTGAAGCTCTTCCCTTTGTTCTGTGAAATTCACATACTGATCCAATGCTTTCTTATTAACGTGGCTGAATTGCTGCAATTGTTCATTGCATCTGTGCAACATTTTATACAGTTCCTTGACGTTCCTCCTCTTATACCTAAAATTTGCAATACGAAAGAAAACCCAACAAGGATCAGACAACTACCAAGAAAACGAATCACAAACAATAGATTGAGATACACATGAAAGGTATTGTCAAATAATTTCAGTAATGATCACTAATCATTTGTCAAGGACAGCTAAACATCAGAAGGAAATCCTAATTCAAAGAAAAGATTACGTTTCAAAAGCATCAGATGACAGTAGGCCCAGCTCTCCAATTTTCTTTGAATACTCTTCTTCTTTAGCAAGAAGAACATTTCTTTTGCTTAGTAGTTGCTCTAATTCTTTAGCTTCGTCCTGAAGTGTCCTCTCGTAGTTGTCCTCTAAAGTCTGTATAGACAAAGGATCAACCAAGGAGCAAGGAGGGCAAGAATAATCAATGGTGTTAAGATGTAAAAATGGGATACCTTTAGTTTATTCTTTTCGTCTTTAATCTTCTTGACTTCCTTAGATCTCTCGTCCATATTTTCAGAAACTCCTGAGAAATCACAACTTCAAATCGCTATAAAATAGAAAAAAAAAATTGAGAACTAAAAAAAATGCAGAATCAAAAGTCTCACTTTTAAGCTGTTGAGTCGTTTCTTCTACCAAGAACTTGGCATCTTTCAGTTCCTGTCTCTTCAAATCTGCTTCTCCCAGTAAAGAGTCTGCTTCTGCAGATGATATTATAGCTTCTAACTCTTGTTTCCGCCGCTTGAGGTTAGTTGTTAGATTCGTCTCAAGCTCTGCTTTCCTTGTTTCAGTCTATCCGATAACAAAATGCAAGAACAAGGGCAAAAGTTAAAGGTATATGATATCAATAAATGCACACACCAATTAACTGACCTCAATACGATCTGT